GGGGAGGGGGAGGGGGAGGGGGGCCATACTGTGTGTGTATGCTGTGCGTGTGTGTATATATGGTGTGTATAAATATGTTACTGCATGTGTCTGCGTTAGAGTGGAAAGCGCGGGGGGAGAGAGGAGGAGGGGGAGGGAAATAGTACATAGAAACGATGCCCCAATCGCTGTTGTGTTGTTCGGCGCTGACTCTACACGCTGTGGACCAAACCCCCATGTTCCCGCGGACCCTCCGTCCGGTATCCGGGGCACCGCATGGGAGAGGCCCCCTTCTGGACCGCAAAAGCTGCAGCCCCGCACAGCCCTACCTGGCGCGACCCCGACCGCGTGTCAAAAATAGCCCCGTTGATAGCGCTCGCAAAGGCGACGAGGAGTCCCAAACACCCCAAAACGTGATCTTGTTTCGTTGTTTGGATAAGAGCAGGCGAACATTTTTTTTGCTTTTTGCTATCATAGATGTGTTTTCCTTTTTATGTCTCCCTCTTTTGTTTGTGTTTTTTTGCGGTCGTGTGGTGGTTGTGTGTCGGTCTTTACGCACATCCTTTTGCGTCCTTATAGAAAATGCGGCCGTCACCCTCAGTCCCGCATCCGCCATTGAATGAATCGTTTTCGATGCCTCTCTTGGTTTTGTGTTTTCGGTTCTAATTCTGGGTGCCCCTTTCCTCCCGCCTCCTCGTCGCCATGTGAATCCCCCCCTCCCCGCAGCGACTTCATCTCGGCGGTTCGCGAGGTGGCCTTCTACGCGGCTGCGAACAAGCTGGTCGTACAGTCAAGCAACCCGACGGTGACGACGGCCACGTACGGCATCAATTCAACAAACGCAACGCTGGCGTCGTCGCCGCCGCCTATGGTGGCAGTGGGCGCAGGTGGGTGTGTGTGTCTGTGTGGGCGTGCGTGCGATTGTATGTATGCATGTAAATGGGGGGAATCGGCCGAGAGCAGAGGACTTGCAAGTTCTGCGCGAGCTTCAAGCCGTGGAAGACGGTTACGAACGACGGGGAGGGCCTAGCGGGCCCCTGTCCGACAATGCCCCGTACAATGTGTGGTGTTGATGTCGAATGCTGCTCACTACTTGTGACGTCGGTCCCTCTACCCCCCTCTACCCCCCTCTACCCCCCTCCACGTCCCCCACCTCCCCACAGCGACCTCCAACGTCACACTCACACTCAACCGCTTCTGGTTGTTCGTGCGGGACAATGCGGGCGAGAGCCTCTACACGGGCTACTTGCGGGTGCTGGATACACTGCTGCTGCTGGCACAGGTGGGTGGGACGTGGCGGTGTGGTGTGTGTGTGTGTGTGGTGTGTGTGACCCCGGTGGTGTGTCGCCTCCACATCACCTCCAACACCAACAACCAACACCAACATTACCACCCAACCACCAGCAGACATCAGCAATAACCCTCCCTTCTGTTCTCTCCCTCCCCCCCCCCCCCACACACACACCTCAGGACAACATCTCCATGCTCAAGCTCATCATCATCGCCCTCCTGCTGGTGGAGGGCTGCCTGGTGTGCTTCGCCGCGATGGGCTACGTGTTCTGGCTGCTGTGGAAGGCAACACGCGCACGTGCGGCGCTGTTCACTGTCTTCCTGGTCATTCCGCAAGGTAGGGGGGTGGGGGGTAGGGTGGGGGGTAGGGTGGGGGGTAGGGCGGAGGGTAGGGTGGGGGGTAGGGTGGGGGGTAGGGTGGGGGGTAGGGCGGAGGGTAGGGTGGGGGGTAGGGCGGAGGGTAGGGTGGGGGGTAGCCGGCATACCGAGAGTGTTTTACTGGTCCTAGGAGTTTGTTTGTGTGTATGTATGTGTATGTATGTGTATGTGTGTGTATGTGTGTGTTCTGGAATTGAATGAACGTCGTGTTGTATGTATGTGCATTACGCCATCATTATGTTGTTTTTTATCATCCTGAAGCACCACAGACATACATACATACAGTACCGACATGAAAACCCATTACAGGCCAAATAAAGGCACTCGCGTCACGCCACATCAATACCGCACAAAGCGACGACGACAGCGACGACGACGAGAAAACCAAACAGGAGTCAGCGGAGCGTGACGGCGGCGGCGGCGGCGGCGGCGGCGGTAGTGACCAGATGTCGGAAGCTGCGTCGGTGCTGTCTGGCGGCGGCGGCGGCCGTGGCGGCGGCGGCGGCGCCACGAGACGGAGCTTTACGACGGCGGCGTCGGCGGCGGCGGCGGCGGACCATGAACGGGCACCAAACAACTCGGGGTCGGCGGCGGCAGGCGGGGCCCGTAGGGGCATCACCTTCCTTGAGGTGCGACTCCTCTCCCGCTGTGCCCCCCCCTTATGTTGGTCCCCTGTCTTGTGCGCTTTTCTTCATCTGATGTCTTCTGTGTGTTTCAAGTACGACATGGTTTGACCTGAAAATTTACACATAGCTTTCTAACCGAGAATGTGAATATATCAATTCTTTAATATCATCCCTCTCCTCCCCTCCCTCCCCTTCTCCCCTTCCTCCCTATGCACATACATACGTACATACATATACACACACACGCACACGCTCCGTGCAGAACCCCAAGCGGAAGCCTCATGCCGCCGCCAAGCAGTCCGATACGGTGTTCGCCCGGGTCAGACATGCCATGAGCGGCGAGGTGACGGTGCCGGAGGTGGAGAAGACGGGCCGTCCCCGCCGCTTCTTCACTAAAAAGTACGTATGTACGTTGTACGTATGTACGTATGTACGTATGTATGTGCTGCGCAGTGCGTGTGCGTGTGCATATGTGTGCGTGTCTGTGTAGCATCCTGGATATCACGGGATTGCAAGATCCACCAACCGGTTCTTCTCCGAGAGAGACGTGATACAACAGCCTCCTCGCGGTCTTTCTCTGCTGCTTTGTGCGTGTGCGTGTGTGTTTTGCTCTAAGGCTTGTCGCCCGCCAAGGCCCCCACCCCGCCCACCGCCCGCCCCCTCACCTCCCAGGCGCCTCACCCACACCACCTCGGACATCAAACACCTCGCCTGGCCGTTCCTGGCCTGGGGTGCCATAATCGTGGTCATCTACCTTGTGTCGTACCTTCAGTTTACGAGTGTCGAGGAGTCGCTGGTCAATCTTAAGATGTTTGAGCGGTCAACGGCTCAGGCTTCTCGTACAATGTACTACATAAATGAGCTGGCATTGGAAATGGTGAGTGAGGGACGGGGCTCGGGTTGGGTCTTGGGGGCTTGGGTGTATGGGGGGGGGGGGGAAAGAGGGTCTTGGGGTTGGGGGAAGGGGTTGAGAAGTATGTGTGTGTATGTGTGTGTAAGTGTGTGTAAGTGTGTATGTGTGCGTATGTGTGCGTATGTGTGCGTATGTGTATGTATGTGAGTGTGTGTGTGGTTGTTACAGTGTATGCGTATGATATTTGTATTGACTACGCTTGTGACCAAGTAAAAATTGTCGGCGCAGGATTCCGCTTTCCAACCAACCAGTCCAGTTGCCAACTGCCAAAACTGTAACCCCCAACTGTCAACTCACAAAATCCCCAACTCCCAACCGCTCAGGACACGGCTCGTCAAGCGCTACTTCAGCCCATCGTGGCCTCGGAAGCCTCCTGGCTTGATACCGTATACAGTACAACACTCTACGGCGGTCGTACACTGGCCGACAGCGAGAAATTTGGCTCTCGCGATCAGAACTCCGGCTCCCTGTTCGCTGCGGAGCACCATGCGCAGCTGCTGTTCGCCTCCACGGCGTGTCTCCGGGGTTCCAGAGCGTCGTGTTTGTCGGAGAACGACCCCTTCTATCAGGTGCGTGAGAGTTAGGGCTCCTGACTCCTGAGGGTGGGATAAAGGGGGGGAAGAAGGGGGGAGAGGAGGGGGGAGAGAGAGGAGGGGAGAGAGAGGAGGGGGTAGAGGAGGGGGTAGAGGAGGGGGTAGAGGAAGGGGTAGAGGAGGGGGTAGAGGAGGGGGGAGAGGAAGGGGGAGAGGAGGGGGTAGAGGAGGGGGTAGAGGAGGGGGTAGAGGAGGGGGTAGAGGAGGGGGTAGAGGAGGGGGTAGAGGAGGGGGTAGAGGAAGGGGTAGAGGAGGGGGTAGAGGAGGGGTAGACGAAGGGGTAGAGGAGGGGGTAGAGGAAGGGGGTAGAGGAGGGGGAGAGGAGGGGGGAGAGGAGGGGGGAGAGGAGGGGGTAGACGAAAGGGGAGAGGAGGGGGTAGAGGAAGGGGGCTCATCCCTCGGCCGCCCTCGGGCCCTCAGGCTCTTCCCCCGCCAGCTGACACTCACCCTCCAGGGGGGGAAGAAGCGGAAAAGACCCGTCCAAGGCCAGCCATCCTCCCTCCCTCTCCCCCCTCCCCCCCG